TTTTTTTCCTGTAATTTTTTTTTGTCAGAACGGGTCGTCCATTTTTTTTTTAATTGGGTACCATCCAGGCAATGGGTTTCGTTTTACCCCAATCCCAGTCCTTAGCCAAAAACCGTTGAATCAATCAACGACCCATTGTCCCGAGTGGTCGAACCGTTAACCCGTTTACCCATTCAATGGTTTTTGACCTTTTTTTTATTTTTTATTTTTTTGTTGTCAGAACGGGCCGTCCATTCGAACCATATGATCGAACCGTCAACCCGAAAACCGGTGGCCAGAACGGTTCCATTTTCGGGTTGTATAAGTCACATGCTCAAATGACATAACACGTATGATACTGCTTAATGGACCTCACACACTCATTTTTTTGCCTGTAATTTTTGTTGTCAAAATGGGTCGTCTGTTCGAACCGGATGATTGAACCGTCGACCCGAAAACCGGTGGTCAGAATAGTTCCGTAATTTTTGTTGTCAGAACAGGCTGTTCGTTCAAACCGAATAGTCAAATTGTCGACCCAAAAACCAGTAGCCAGAACGATTCTGTTTTCGGGTCGTATGAGTCACACGCTCGAATGACATAACACATATGATACTATTTAATGGACCTCACAAACTCAATTTTTTGCCTATAATTTTTGTTGTTAGAACGGACCATCCATTCGAACCGGATGATTGAATCGTCGACCCGAAAATCGGTGGCCAGAATGGTTCCGTAATTTTTTGCTAGTAATTTTTGTTGTTAGAACGAGCCATTCGTTCAAACTGGACGGTCAAACCGTCAGTTGTCAAAACCTTATTAACAACATTTATCAATAATAGTAAGTAATTATACTATTTAATTAAATAATCATTAATGATAGTTTTAATAATATTATTTCATTATTTTGAATATAACAGTAAATATTAAATTCATGAATAGGATTTATTAACAATATTCATTAAATTAAACTTTATTTATTAGTAATAGTAATTATAATATTTCATTAAATAATCAATAACAATACTTTAATAACATTTTTAATTATTTTCAATATAACAATAATTACTAAATTTATTAATAGTATTTATTAATAACAATATTTATAATTTTAATTTAAAGTAAAATTAAAGTAAATATCTATTTATTAACAATATTTATAATAATAGTAATTATTAACTATAATCACTAATTATATATTTACTAAATTACTGTAATAATAAGTAATTAAGATATATTTATTAAATTACTATAATAATTAGTAATTATTAAATTACAATAATTTATTACTATAGTAATCAATAATTACTGTTATAATAATAGTAGTAATTACTGTTATAATAACAATAATTATTATAACAGTAATTACTAGGGTGCTCTCACGTGGGAATCTACTCGTACGAGTAGATTCCATTTCTAGCAAGGAGAGAGCACCCCTATCCTATTAATATATATATATACTACAATACAACCAGTAGGAGACCTTACCAACCAACTAATTGACACTTTGGCATAGGATGTTAAAACTAAATTAATAAAAAATCTATTTATAATTTATTGTTGTTTACACAACAGAAAAAATGAAAAAAAAAATGAATATCTTAAAAATCCTTAGTACAAATATTGGTATAAATAAATTACTTTTCAAAAATTAATGAATAAATTTCTGAATTGATATGAATAAAATTTTCAAAATTTATTGATATGAAAAAATTAATTTTCAAAAAAAAATTGAATTTATGAATAATTAATTATTGAAAATAAAAACTTCAGTAATTTAGAGTTTTTTAATTAACTTTAACTAAATTAAATTACCAAAAACATGAAGATTAGTTTACATTAAATTAAAATATCCTAACAAATACCAAAACCCAATGTAAATTATGAATAATTAATTATGGAAATTATTAATAGTTTCCAAATTAATAAATTAAAAAAATATATTGAATTTTCTTAATAGTTATGGAAATTATAAATATAGGTAAAATTTCCCAATAATTTTCCAACTTAATATTTAATAATTTCCAAAAACCAAAGTAAATGAAAATATAAATAAATAATTTTTATTACTAAAGTTAAATTTCAAAATCAATAATTTTCTGAAATTACTTAAACAATGCTGATTTTTTTTGAAATTTTATAAATAAATAATTACCTTTAAATTACTATAATTTTCATGTAATAATTCTTAATTTCAAATAGTACTTATATATAATTAATTTTATATAATAATAAATTAAAATTTGATTATTCAATAATTTTTTATATGAATAAATTAATTTTCAAACATTTATGTATATTATGAATAATTAATTACTAAAATATCAAAATAAATTAATATTTTCATTATTTTAATTATCTTATATGTTTAATTTTGTAAAATTTCCAACTTTGTTGCATTGTTGAAATGGGAGGCAAGGTGACATGGCCAAAGGCTAAGAGCTGGATGATGTAGCAAAATGAAAGGCTTGGGTAGGGTGAAGGTAAACTTGTATTGAACTTGGCTTGTTGTGTTTATTTTTCATTATTTTAAAATTAAATATAAATAGAGTTTAAATTAATAATTAGTTTATTACTGTTTAAAATTTTTAATCCTGTTGGAACTTGTTATGATAAATTAAATATAATATTACTGTAATTAATTTTAACAATTATTATTGTTAAAATTAAAAATATAGTAATTTATTTTTAATGTTCTATTATGTTAGCCACTTTTAAATTAAAATTATTATAGTATAATATAAAATTATTATGGTTAATTATTAAATTTTTAATGACGATATGAAAAATATTATGTATAATTATAATATTTTTTAATTATTAACTTTTATTATTTTTATTTTTTGTCATATTGTATTATTTATTTCATTCTTATTAGTCTTAAATATTTTTTACTGATCTTATTAGTATTTTAGATAGAGAAATAGAGATAGGGGTTGGGAAAGAGGCATTACAATTAGGTTGTTTATTGTGAGATAGGTTAGGAGATGTTTTAGGAGGAAGTTTGTGGGGGAGATTGTTTATGAGAACTTTTAAGAAAGGAGATGACTTAGTTGTTTGGGATTATGCCGAAGAGAGAGGGAGATTTTAGGAATAACTGAATAAGATAAAGAGATTATTGTCTATGTTGTTTCGTTATTGGTTTAATAGGAAATTAAGTAGAATTAAAAAAAAAGGAAATTAAAAAGGGGGGTTTGGAGAAAAGAGAGGCACTCTCATGTGAACCACCTTGAAGAATCATCCATTTCCTTCAAATGATTTTTTCTCCTATACACTCCCATCTACTTTTTCAAGAATGATTTGCTAAATGTGATGGCTGTGGGTTTCATGTGTTTTTAGGAATGTCAATGGGTAGGATACCTATGCAAATTGCCCTACCCATTTCCAAACTTGCCTGGGTACCCTTGATCCCAAACCCATTTAACTTTTCTTCTCAAATTCCTAAACCCGTTTCATCCCAAACCCATTAAACTCATTTCAATCTGTGCCACCCGTTTATCAAATGATCAAATTAAACTTTTCTTCAAGTTCAATATTAAGTATACAAAAAAAGTTCTTCAAAGTTCATTATCAACCAACAACATTCAAGAAGAACTAATAGTACATAGATATATTAATTTAAAATCCATTAAATATAATAACAATTGTGTCAATAAAATTTTAAAATTAACTAATAAAAATTCAAATTTCATAAACAAGCAACTCACCTAAAAAGTATTGCTTGGATTGGTCTTGAACGGTTGAACCTAACCAAATGTCCCAAACTTGCAAGTTAACCAATTAGGAATGTCGTAGGCCATAGGATTCCTTCTTCTTGGCATCTACTTAATTAATTTCTCTTAATATATTATATATTATAAATTATTTTATACTATATATTATATCATACAATATATTTTATTTCTTGTAATTATATATATAATCAGGTTTATAATCGGATATTAGAAATGGGTACTCACATCAAATAAAACCAAATATCGGGTGTCAGATAGCCTAAAGTCAAAACCCAAATCTATCCCAAACCCTATATGATTTTAATTTAAAATCCCAAACCTTAAATAGGACTTATTAAATTCAGAACGGGTTGAATACTCAAAAATTCCTGGAAAATTGCCATCCCTGTGTATTTTATGATTGGCATGGAGTGTTATCATTGATTCATAATTGATTCATAGCCACAGCTTGGTCAACAGCTATTGGGTTTAGCGTTCAGCTAATCCTATCTCAAAATGGGATTGGAATCAGTTCTAAAGATGATCCAAACCCGATAAAGTGGATCCAAGTCAGGTCTTATTTTATCAAGATTCACGAACACACAACAGGTAAAAGGTAAAATGTTGGTCGGTTGGTAGCCAGGTTGGGGCGTTCAGGCCTCTTCGAGCAACCATAGGCTGAATTTCGCATTTCTTATTTTACGGATTTATCTCTTCTTTTAGTTAAAATACCCCTACAAATACTGAGCTTTTAACAGCAAAAAAGAGATAAGTCCTTAATGCCAAATGCAGCCTAATCAGTATGATTTTCGAATAGTCATTGGCCTGGATGGTTGGACTGTTCAGCCTGCAACTGGTTCCATTTCACTGTTGAACTGGAATCTTGCCATAAACCACTGACTTGGTCAGCAACATGACCCAGACAGCGACCCATACAACGGTTTTAACCGTTTTTTATTTTAATTATAATTATTTTTTATTTTTTTAAATTGCAAGGGATCATCCGTTTAGACCAGATGATCAAACCATTGACCTGGAAACCAGTGGGTTAAAGTTTTTTTTTTTTAAAGAATGGGTTAAAGTTAAAAAAATCTGCCCTGCACATGTGCAAGCTTAAGCTTATTAATGAATCAGAAGATTCAGAACCCTCCAATGATAAACATAGATTAACAGCAGACCTGATTTTGATCGAACGGCATGCTTGCTTCTTACAATCTTCAGTTTTCTTGAAAGTTGACGGATGACGAGAGACAGTTACAACCAGGTAGTTTCGAAAGTTGGTTGCACAATATAATCTGGTTCCCAACGGTTATGTGTTGGAACTTACAGAAGAGACCGGAGATGATGAACTCATTTCCCGTTGATACTCAGATGGCTTCTTCTATCAACAAAACCCCGATTACAATTAATAAAGATTCAGAAGCCGGGGAAATAACATTCACTGCCGTTCACCCAGAGTTTGAATCTACAGTTTATGAAGATAAGTCTTCATCCTCGAAGTTCGGGAATTTTGATGGCAGAAAGGGGTCAGAATTTGATATTAGAGTGGCCTGCCAGGATTTATTTGATGGTTTAGTGAAGAAAGTTGGTCTGGGTCAACGTCCAGATCTTGGTGGGGTCGAACGAATTACGAGAGTTTACCAAGTTTGGCCGGGGAAAAATGTATATAATTGCTGTATTTACTCTTTTCTTCTTCTTCTTCTTCCCTAAACATATATAGAAGGAATAAATAAAGAAAAGAGATAGAAAGATAGAAAGATTACGAAGGAAGAGAACTATATATGATAAGTGATAGGCATGCCTTCTCTGTTCCCACAATTGTATTCTGCATTTCCTTCGATAACAGAAGAACTGAACAGAGTTGTAATTTACAAGACAAGACTACTGGAGACTGTTTAAGTGTAAGGTTCTTTTGGAAAACAAATAGAAAAATACAAAAGAATGAGTTTACCTTCTGGGTATTGACTATTGAGAACTTCCGTCAAAGTATTAATGTCTGTCAATTAAGCTTTAGTTCTGATTTAAATCGTATCATCTTTCCTATGATCATTTATCACTAACTTCATTTATTCTATAATGCAGGTATTTTTCTTCAGAGGTCGTCTCATCTATGGTCCAGATCCAAGAGGCCTACTCTTAACAACAGTTTCTATAATTATTTCAGGTTGGATATTTTGTGTTTATGTTGGAGATGATCTGTTGAAACATTCCAGTCTCGTAATTACTTTTGCAGTGATTTTAACAGTACTTGTGAGTATAGATGCAAAGCTTCCTCTTCTTTCTCTTTGGGATAAAGAAGATAGAAACTGAATAATTCCAAGATTTTTAACTTCCTTTTGACAGGTTCTTGTTAACCTGGTCCTTGTTGGTTCAATAGACCCAGGAATAATCCCAAGAGGCAATCACTTATCATTAGAAGCAGATACTCTTCAAAGTGAGAAAGTAAGAAAAACTAAGGTAGTTGTCAATGGAGTGGAAGTGAAACTGAAATTTTGCCGGATTTGCAAGATTTTCAGACCACCAAGAAGTAGTCATTGTGCAATCTGCGATAACTGTGTAGAGAAATTTGATCACCATTGTCCCTGGATCGGCCAATGTATTGGACTGGTATACACCCCTGCATATATACATGCATGCATGAGTCCTAAATTCCTAATGAAGTATATAATAAGCTATATTGATGTTCATATACCTTCCATGTGCAGCGAAACTACAGGTTTTACTTGACATTCGTATCTTCAGCCATGGTTTTCTTTGTCTACATCTTCATCTTCTGCTGTCATAGAATCAAACATAGAATCTCAGAGTCCAGCATTGGACTGTTTGGGACAATAAGGAATTGCCCAGAGACAATTGCACTGGCAACGTTCAGCTTTGTTGCTATCTGGTTTCTTGGTGGCCTTGCCAGTTTTCATACGTATTTGATTGCACTCAACCAGGTGAGTAGTAGCCAAGATGTGTTCAGTGCAGTTTTATTGCCAAGGGTTTGATTCAATAGTATTGATTGCCTATAAATTAAAATTTGTTTTACCAATGCAAGTTCTTATTTATAAAAAGTCCCCAGCTAGGATTTTTCAGTCACTTTGATTTCTGCAACTTCTTCTGCTAAAGTTCTCTCTATTTCTTTTTCTTTTGCTCATTGTTTGCAGACAGCTTATGAGAATTTTCGACAATATTACATTGATTCTCCCAATCCATACGATAAAGGAATAGTAAGCAATATAAAGGAAGTGTGGTTTGCCAAATTGCCACCTTCTAGAGTTGATTTTCGAGCTGAAGTAACAGTTCAGAGGTAAGTTGAAGGATGCAATATTGCAAAGGCGCATACTTTCAGAGGAATTGTGTGAACTGTGAAGTGTTTCCTTACAGTAATGTATTGAATAAAATCGCTACTCCCCTGTCTCATTTCTTGTTTCTAATTGCTATGTTGGTCAATTCTTCAATACAAGATCGTCATATTTGCTTTTAAATTTGGGAGGGTACACAAATCAGAGTATCATCAGCAAGATTACTTTTGGGGTTTGATATCTACTTGCATGATTGAATGGATAGCTTTTTTTGGTTTTCCTCACATGAAATATTTATCTCATAAGCCCCATATTTGGTTGATCCTCTGGTCAAATACGGGATATTTATTTATTTATTTATGGGTAAAAGACTTATATGTACCCTAGGTTTTTATAAGTTGACTTAAACTGTTAAACATACTTGAGTTTTTCAATTAGACTTAAATATAGTTTATTGTGAACTGACCCACTGAAACTTAAACATACCCTCCCATCACATTTGAACTCGTTTAATTTCTTTAAATCCTATTTTGCCCCTTACGCCCATTAACGGATTAGAGCTTTGATCATATGCTCAGCATGGAGAGAAGGGAGATGTCCTTCCATTGTCCCTGCCCAAAAAGAAAGGAGATGCGATGTGGAGAACTCCAAAGATGAGAGGTCCTACACAAAAATAGGGTTTCTCAAGAAGAAAGTCATAAAGCTTTTAATTTTGGGTGAGCATTAATTCGGTTTATTCTGTTAAAACCGAACTGAATAAATTAAAATTTTTGCAAAATTGAATTATAATAAAACCGAAATTTTTTGTTTGGTTTTCAGTTATTTTGGTTAAAAACCGAATTTTATTACTATATAATATTATATATTATAACCTAAAATATATATTATGAAATTGAATTTCATTATAATACATTATATATAATATATTAATATATAAATATATATAATAAATTTAATTAATTCGGTTTTTTTGGTTAATTGAATTTCTAAATCTGAAAACCGAAATTCCTAAAAACCGAATTATCCAAAAATCGAAAAAATCAAAACCAAAATTTTCAGTTCGGTATTTCGGTTTTAATCGAATAATGGTCACCCTTACTTCCAACAAGTTTACCCATTTTCTTAAAAAATGAGGAAAAAGGAAATCTGATTATAGAGTTTCTTATGTTTCAATAGAGGATATTGGGATGGAGACCGAATCAGCTCCCCACAGCACATCCCCATCGTGTATTGGGAACATTTCCCGATGATGACATTATCATTCCTGGTATTATCATCAGGAGATGTTTCCAATACACGGTGGAGATGTGTTGTGGGACGTTGGGGGGGGGTCTTGTGGGAGGCTGATTTGAACTCATTGGGATGTAAAAGAGTAAACTGCAGTCCATAAATTGTGTCAAAAACTCCTATCCAAAGACTTATACCATCTAAGCAAGGTGATTACTATACTTTGTTCAGATTCTCTCTCTTGTAAAAAGATAATTTGTTCAACTCAATCAATAAGAAAACCAAAGATACATAAAAGAGAAATGAAAAACTAACGAGATAGAAGGAAAAAAAAATCGAAAAACCTAAACCTAAAGCAAAAGCCAACAATAAAATTTATCCTACGAAAGATTAGAATTAGAATCATTGATAGCATTAAATCACTTCTTAAAGCATCTTGAATGCAATCCAGCGGAGACGATAACAACGCTTTTTGACCTTTCAGCCCAGCTGAGGGCCTAAGGCTTAAAATATGGGCAAACATGTTTAACATTGAGAAAATAATATAAATGTGGGATGAAATGTTTGTTGGAGAATAAAATGTGGGATGGATACATATTAGAAGAATTTAAATTTGAAGAGCTTGAGTAAGTTTTGCAAGATTACTCATGGAATCGATAAAGAATGGAGGCAGGTAAACATGAATTTCTTATCTATTTGTTTTTTGTTTTTTGAAAAATTGAAAGAAAATAAAGGGTAAAAGAGTCATGAGGTATGTTTAAGTTCATCATAACAACTCAAAGAATGTTTAAGTCAATTTATAAAAAACCATGGTATATATGTTTAAGTCTTTTACCCTTCACTTATTTTATTTATGATAGTTTCAACACTATTCTTTCCTCTATTAGTGATCTTGTGTTTTATGGGATTAGGGGTCTGGAATCAGGACGATTCCAATTCCAACAATTTGGTCGAATAAAATCGAAATCCCATTCCTATTCCTGGTGGAATAACATTACCTATTGAGAAAATGGATATTCTTTTACTCTCTCTTAGAAATGAGATTTTATTCCAACTGCGGTCCAATTTCAATTCTAATTCTCATATGAACCAAATGGGCAATAAGAATAGGGGTGCAACTTGGGCAGGCCCAGCCTGAACTCGAACCAGCCAAACCTGGAATTTTACACAGGCTGGGCTTGGATTTTCAGTCCTGGGCTGGGCTCGGGCCCAAGAAGTCGGGCTTTTTTATTTTTCGGGCCGAGCTCAGGCCTAGCCCTTAGGTAGCCTGAATCCGACCCGAGCCCGGCCCAATTGTATACATTTATACATATATGTATGTAAATGTTACATACATATTTACATATATATACATACATATTTGTATATATAACTTTTGTATAGATATTTTGCTTATATTACATACATACATAAATATATGTATGTATATGTATGTATATTTGCATAAATACATTTATATGTATAATTTTAGAGTGGATTCATGGACCAACCTAAGCCCGACCCAGGCCCAAGCCCAACCCAAGTGCATCAAATTATAAGGCAGGCTAGGCTCGGATTGGAAAAATCGGACTTGACCTCGGACCTTAAGCCCAAATTTTAGGGTTGGGCTTGGATTGCTTGTACCCCTAAATAAGAATAGATCACTCCGACTTGCACCCCTACATGAAGCTACAACCCTTAACCAAATTCAGGGTATCCACCTAACTAAGGCCAGCACTCCGATAACACAACTCCTACTTGCAAATGACTGCATCCTGTTCTATCGAGCTGACCTTAAGCAAGTAAGTGAGCTTAGCAAAGTCCACCAATTCAAAAAGATCTCAGGTCAGAAATCCAACCCTAGCAAGTCATTAGTGGCTTTTAGCACCAACGTGTCGAGACACCATAGGAAAATAACCAGTCAGGTCCTCAGAGTGAAACAACCATTAGTGGGGAATAAATACTTGGGAGTGATATTGATGTTGAAAGACAAAGAAGCTAGCACACAGAAGGAGCTCCAACAGAAAATAACAACAAAAATCAAAACTTGGAGCTCAAATCTACTATCCCAAGCGGGTAAAACCACACTTTGTAAAGTCGGTCTTGCAGTCAATCCCACAATATCATATGTCAACTACAATACTACCCCAAAAATTCCATAAAACAATAGACAAATTATCACAAGACTTTTGGTGGAATTCTCAACAGAGACATACAGTCTCTTGGAACAAGTTGTGTCTTCCTAAAGTTTGTGGTGGACTTGGTCTCAAGCAAAGTGCAAGGATGAATAAAGCTTTATTTAGTAAGCAGGTTTGGAGGCTCATGACCTTCCCAAATAGCTTGTGGAGTTCACAAATCAAGCAGAAATACTTGCCTAATTCCAATCTATTCAATGCAAGAAAACCAAGAAATAGCAGTTCTCCATGGTGGCGACAAGCCCAGAAGCTCCTGTCCACACTCAAACCAAACACTCTTAGGATGGTCAAGAATGGTTCGGAAATATTGGCATCCCAGGATTCTTGGATCCCCACACTAAACGGAGGGCTACCGAAACCAGTTCCAAACGCTCAACAAAACCCAAGTATGAGAGTGAGAGACTTTCTAAGTTCAGATGGAGCCTGGAATCAAACAGAGTTGTCCCGGTTTGTGGACCAGCACTCAATCCCCCATATATTAAACATCACCCCAAACAATGAGTTGGAGAGAGACACACCTATCTAGAAGTTAACAAAAGCAGGGAGTTTATCACTTCCTCTCCTCAGAAGTGACCTCACCATCATCGACATTCTTTTACTGGAAACTGCTCTGGAAGCTGAGAATTCCATATCGATTCCAATTATTCGTATGGAGAATGCTATGGGAGGGGGTACCCACAAAAGACAAAAGCCACCGCTAGTTAGCCCAGCCAGACTTATCATGTGTGATGTGTTCGAACGAGGTTGAGACTTTCCACCACCTCTTCTGTCACTGCCACTTCACCCGAGCCATATGGTGCTCAGCCCAGGTTGTATTGAACCCAGATGAAATATCCAACCAACCGGTCCACATAATCTTCTCAAACTGATATCAAAAACTCAGGTCAGCACATGCAAAGGAAGTAGCAATAGAGATCATGGGAAGGGGGTGTGTAATATTTTGTCTTATATGGAATGCAAGGAACAGAAAGCAGTTTGAAAACATCACATATACCCCCCAGTAAATCATAAAGAAATGGAGTACCTATCTACCACGAGAGGAACAAAAAGTCTTGGGAAGTTGTGTTAATGTACAGATCACAGAAAACCCCCTAGGGGAATGGCCACTTTGCAAATTGATGGCTCTTATGATCCTATAACAGGAAGTGCATGACGAGCTTTCATCCTCCATCGATCATCAAGAGAGGAAATCATCTATGAAGGAGCACCTTGTTGGGCAACCTACCCTTATGACGCGGAGCTAATTTCAGGATTAGAAGCAGCAAACAAGCAAAAGTTATCTTCCATTGTAGTATACAGTGACTCCATGCAGCCTAAAACTGTTTTGCAGGACATCTCAAAGCCAAAACTCTGAATTGAAAAGCTACATCAATCGCAACTAGCCAAACTTCTGGAAACCTTCACTAGTCTTTATAAATATATATATATATATATATATATAGCTTGTAATGATATTCAAGTTGCACATATTCTAGCATATATAGCTTCTAAATCAGCGTTATCTATAGTCCCTTCCGAAAACAGTAGGATGCATGTATTTCTAATTCTTTTGAAAAAAAATCTCTGTATACCTTTTGGAATGTCTTTGAATATCATTATTGCCCATGTGGGGACACGTGTTATTGTTACCAAAAAGGCAGATAATTAAAGGCAATGGCGGTTCTAGAATGTTTTCCTGGCGGTGAGGCAATATGGAACGCTGGAGTTACCCTTCACCATAAACGAGACAGAAAATGCCAAACATATACTACACGTGAGACGATCACGGATCAACTAGTCCTTAATCTTTAGACTTTTACCATGAAAAAGAGATTTTACTGTCACGTGGGCAGTTGGCATTGGTGGATCAGAAGGCCGGATGACAGAGGCTAACGACACACTTGTTACAGATTGAGTGGAAATGGAAGTGGATGATACATGCAGCAAAACTATCTACTTTACTCTTTTTTTTCGGGATTTATTATTTACCATGCCGGAAAACATTATATTCATAATCTTTAACCAATTGAACGAATTGAGGGCCCGTTTGATTGGCAGTCGGAATTAAAATCAAAATCAGCATGAAAATCTTTTGAAATCAAAATGAGAATGGTCTACTTTTATAGTCTGTTTAGTAAATAGGAATTGGAATGGAAATTAAAATAAAGTAGATGGAATTTTATTCTCAAGAGAAGAAGGAATAATTATTCTTTCAAATGAGAGAATACTATTTCACCAAGAATGAGAATAAGATTCCCATTCTACTCAACTAAATAATTAGAATTGGATGAATCATTCTGATTCCAATTCAAAACCCCTATTCCCGCAAACCAAATGAGACATGATATCATGAAAATTCGTCAAAGTTCTACTGGTATCGTACCCTCCGAAAACAATCCTTTTGTTCGGCAAATGAAACAGAGCTGGCATTTGCGTTCCCTGCTGGTATGGAGCTTTATTAATTTGGAAGGAGATATCAGAGCTCTAACTCGGGCCTTGTTGGATTCGAACCTCAGTATTCGTCAGCATGTGTTAGGCGAGACCGGATCTGCTCCTCACACCTGGCGCCTCATAGGCACCTTATACACACAGCCTACCATGCGTTGGGAACATCTCCCATACTTATTAATTATTGATCATGGGAGATGTTTTCAATGCACGGTAGATGTGCCTGTGAGGCGCCCATTTGTGAGGAGCAGATCTCAGCTCGTGCTAGGCGTCCCGAGAATGCACAGTAGATGTGTCTTCACAACCACATGCAGCTGTATTTTTCACCATTAAAATATACAAATATGCAAATGTTCCTAATGCACTGAAAATGAGTTTCCTAATGATTGAATCCGAATTCTAATTAATCTCCTTTGCATATTTTGTTCCTTTATAAACTACAGATCGATCCGAAAAAATAAAAAGGAAATTCTTGGATGCATGGATATACGAAGTACGAACTATAAATCCACTTAATCATTTCTCTTTCCCACAGTCCAACTTAGTGAAGAAATTATAACAATTATCATGGTTTTTAAAATCGGACCGGACTGAATGGTCGGACTGGAAAAACCGGGAACCAGTCAGGTGATCGATTCTGTTTTTCTTCAAAATTGGGATTTCTCAAAAAATTGTTGATTTTAGTCAACAAATCACTAACCCGGGTAGTTAATCATTCGAACGATTTTGACTATTTTTTAATTTTTTTATTTTTTTGTCAGAACAAACCAACTATTCAACCCGATAACCGAACCCCTGACCAATTCAATCTTCAGATCGGTTTTAAAAACCATGACAATTATTTACGAGATTTTGATAAATTAAACACACCCATGGCAAAAAAAAACAATGGACATGTAGGTCTATGGTGGAAGAGTCTCGTACATCACTACATCCACACAGACCACACCCACCGCGAGGGTAACAATGTGTCGAAGCATCAATTCTCACTTCTCGGTTATCTGTCCTTGAACCTTAGGTTTTTGATTTTTCTTGATATAGCCCGCTGGTGTTAATCTTCTCAATGTATCAAAAGAAAGCAATGGCAAATTTCAAAACAACAAAGGTTCTTTACCCTCTCAATTAACGTGCAATAATTCCCTCGTGATTTGGAATGATTTTTCTTGATGTAGCCTGATGAAGGGTGATTTGGCACGATCTGATCGAAGGGTGACAATTCAGTCAGGCAAGCCCATTTCGCAACATTCGGAGTTCGGGTATTCAGCCACCTCAGCCCAAAAAAACCACTTCGGCATAGAGGCACTTCGACACCCAATCCAGTTCGGGACTAAAGAATCGAAGTGCCAGTTCGGAGCTAATGAGCCAAAACGCCACTCAACCGACTCCAAAGGCCTTCTCAATAGATCTCGAATTTCTCGAGATCACGATGAGCCAACAGATCCCGAATTTCCCGATATCACAATGAGAACTCGTCTCAGCTCCGCCTGAATCGGAGGTAAATGATAAACCTTATCTACATATTACTCCCCTTCAAAAATGGAACAAACCTCATCTCCACAGCCCGGAGATCCCGGAGCTCTTTCGTAAGGCCCACGATTACTCCAGTATATAAAGACATGAAACCTCAAGACAAAGGTACGCATGATTACTCTACTCACTAGCACTCAAGCTCTCAAGCATTTAGCTTGCATTCATAGCATAAGTACTTACTTAAGCATCGGAGCGACCTTACCTGGTTAGCTACCCCGGGTTTTCTGATCCACTGTTTTGCAGATTGATCCAGCTCGCCGCCCAATTGAAATTCAGATCGCCCTCTAGCTAGGAGTAGCTAGATCACGCACCAACACAGCCCACTGGTGTTAATCTTCTCAATGTATCAAAAGAAACAAAAAAAAAAGCAAATAAAGCAATGACAAATTTGAAAACAAGAGAGGTTCTTTACCGTCTCAACGTGCACTTATTCCCTCGTGATTTGGATTATCGCTTATTTAATTATAACAAATTGTAATTATTTAACCATTTATTCATTGGTAATTCATTTATATATGATGATAGTTCTTAAGGTTCCGTTTGGAAAAATTGTAAATACAAATGTGTTAGTTCAGTGCAAATACAAGTGCTGTAATTTTCATCCATGTATTTGTATTTGCAGTCAACATATCTGTATTTATAATCTTTCCAAATGAAGGTAGGCTCAGTTTAGACTTTAGAAGGAATACAAATGCAAATATGTAAAGTATAAATACATATAAAATAATACAAAACACAGGACTTTACACTGTATATATTTCTATTTATACTCCTTCCAAACCGAACCTTAATATACATTAGCAAAGCCTTATTAATAGGGGACGATGACGGTATGGTTCAAGTGGGTAGTATATTACTTGGATGGACTGGATGAAATCTTGGTACATCATGTGGATAACTATGATTAGTTAATTGATATTAGAATGCCACTTTTTTTTGGAGGGGGGTAAGTATCTTAGAATGCCACTTTTATAGCCTAAATTTCAGTTTTTTTTGGTACATTATCTTTCAAATAAAAATTTAAAAATTACCTTAATGAGTAGGATTGACTGAACTGCATTAATAATTCCTAATTCCTACCCCACAAAAGACAGCTACACACCAAATATCTATTGTATGTTATCTATCATTCATGGGAATTCACATCAGCATCCCACAACCACCACACAGCCCATCCCAGCTGCGTATTGGAAACATCTCCCATGATAAGTTTGGGAGATGTTCCTAATACACGCTGAGATGTGCATGTGAGGCATCGAGCATATCTCAATTCATCGGCTGTTGTATCTTATAAGTAGAGTTTTTGTGGGTAGGAGATTCAGACTAGACTAAAATTCTTATCCTTTAAATATAAATAATGAGTAGTAAATTTTATAAGAATTGTGATCACCTGCCAACAAAACATATAGTTTAACAATCTATCAACATGATCTGACACCACACATCTCACCTTGAGACTAGGACCCACCATAAAAGTGGGACTGCCATGTATGACATATGTAGTATAAGATATTAAGATGATGTTGGAAGGGTGTTGGAACATTTTTTTATTGGCAGGTGACCCGAACTCATTTTATAATCATCCTTTCGTTGTTAGCATTAGTTACCGATATATAAGGATTACTGGCGTGCTTGCATATTCACTTGTAATTGGTCACATGGCAAGTGATACACAACATGCTAGCATCAGTGATAAAAGACTACTTAAATATTTCTTCGTGTGGTGTGGGGGAATTCTCTTTTACAAAATGCTAAGCAAATCTAATTTTGGCTTTAGAATTTAAAATAAAATTTATTCATCTATAAAAAATAATTTAATTATAAATCAAACCTAAAGGGGTGTTTTGTAGTATGGATGATAAATTGGTGGGTGTGGAATGGTCCAACTATACCCTGTGGCAATGACCACTCCACACCACACCACAGTCCACAGCTGTTCTGAATTGTGGATAGATTTGTGTGGACTTGACCAATCACCCATTGTGGCATTTTGTAGGTGTGGTGTGGATCACACCACGCTTTTTTATTTCGTGTATCTTATATATATTTTATGGGAAATCTACATAGTTAATCATAAATGTCTAATTTTTGCATTTTATATGGTAAATAAATTAAATAAAGGCATCAATATGTAGACAACAATTTCATTTTTTCAATAATTAAAAAATATTATTTTAAATATTAAAAAATAAAAAATAATATTTTAAATTATTTTATTGATAAAAATATTAAATTTAATATTTAAATAATGAAAAAAGAATTGAGAAGGAGAAACGTCAGACTTGTGCTAGAATTAACATTAAAAAAATATTATTTTATTAATAAAATATCTAATATATATATTAAAGGAAGGTTTTCAGGCTACAACCCCCACCATTTAGACACATGGCCTTCTCATTTTTCTGGAAGCTTAGACATGCGACATCTTTTGAGAAGTTGTTGTTAAAGCCCACAACCCCCACCATTCAGACATGTGGCCTTCTCATTTTTTGGAAAGTGTGGCATTTTCTAAGAAGTTGATGCTAAAGCCCACAACCCACTACCACCATTTAGACATGTAGTATCCTATTAATTCAAGAAATAGGATTCAAAAAGTGGGTAGTTTCACTCCTAAACATTCTCAATATACAGTTATTTATTAGTTTAACACATGTTTATTCATAGTCTATTAAATATAAATGGTGGGACCCATTAAAAGATTACCATAAACGCATAGTTGTTTTTAAATGATTTTTTTCAAAAAGAAAATACTTTATTAATTACAAACTTGATTTAACTTTTAGGAAGCAGCCTAATTTAACTAAAAAAATAACTCAAAATAAATTTATTAGATGAATAGTAAATACCAAATAAAGTGGGTTATTGCTTACCAATAAGATCTTATTTAATATCTTAAATCAAATTAAAAAACATAAATTAATAGGAGGTTTCAAATAAAATAGGTTAGAATATATTGTCAATTACAAAGATGTAAGACCCATATTAGTTTTTTTTAGTTTAATTTTTGATAATTAAATAGTAAACTTAAAAAAATTGATTGTGCATTAAAATTATGTAAATTACCAGAATTTAGTGTAACTAGAAAATCTATTATAACAACAATACTTAGTAATTAAATAAAATATAAGAAAATAATCATCACCATTACTAATTAAAAATAATATTAATCTTTAATTAAATAATTAAGTAAATATTACATTTTGATTAATCTTTAAATTTTTATAGTAAAAATTTTAATTATAATAATTATTATGATAATAAAATCATTAATTAAATACTTAATGATAACAATAAAAATTAATTAACTAAAAAGTTACAATACAAATCATATTTAAAAAATAAAGAAATAATAATAAAAAGTTATACATTTTTTGTTTAAACAAAACAAAAATTATCAAAAAAATACTAACCCCGTACTTAGTACGAGGTCATTCTCTAGTTAAAAATTTAAAATTTAAAAATTATTAAAAGATTAAATAAAATGGGAGTAATTTAACCACTACAACATTGAAGCTTTCTAACAAACTATCCACACCATAATGTGGACCATTTACAAGAAAGTATTATAGACGATAAAATTGGGGTGTAACCCATCCCTGTCCACACTAATTTGTGGACGGGAACCATCCACATATAGCAGAACACCATATCTTACCGTGGATAGGACCAAAATGATCCCATCCACAATATTTGTACACTACCGAACGCCATCAATAAAGCCATTAGCCCAAATACACCAAAATTCACCTATTGAATAATTGGTCTCAAACGAAAAAGGTACCTATAAGGCTATAATGTCCCTTAATGGTTTACATTATTATAAGACTCATTAATTCACATGGACCATAATTTAGAATATTTTGATTGGTAGCTACTCTTTATGAACTCACCTCAACTCACATATTGTTCCATGTGTGTGGTGTTGGGTGCATTTTTAATCCTAAGACTCTAAAAACATAAGTTTTATTAAGGGTCTGTTTGACATGTTTTTCCATGTAATCTTTTGGCTGTTTACAAGTGAAGTAGACTGAATTTTGGTCTATTTCTATTTGGCGTGTGAAAGATCTAGCTGTCAAAAAATGGAACGTCGAGAAGATGTGAAAAACCCATTTTAGGTTGATTTCGAGAAGCTCCAAATGAAGCTTTTTGTGTCTTTCATGTTTAATTCTCACGCGAGACTACTAATTGTGCTTCGGGCTGCTAAGATCTTCATGCAAAAGCTCAATGCTGACAATGCATCTTTTGACTATAAGAAGTATCAGAAGATCTTTCCAAAAAGACATGCCAAACGGACCCCAACTCTTTACACCATGCGGCCTCGATTTCTTGAATGGGTGTATGCGGTTTGGATCCAGTTTGGTTGGATGCGGGTTGACCCGAGCAACCATTACCGGTTGTGGTTGATCCGCATAATCTCCGAGTCCCATGAAGATTCTCGTGGCCCGGGTTCTCTGGTGCCTTTGCTTAGGTATGGACCACATGTCATGTTTCAAATGGCCCACTTTATTCAAGATCTTCATGTAACCACCACTGTTGACACGTGTCGACTAGAGAATAGTTGAGCATAGCCCAATTCTATCACGAAAAGTAGACTCCACAGTCCAGCCTTTAATTTCTGAAAAACAATAAAAATATTAAAAAATTGAATTAATAACAATAATCTAATTATAATATATAAGAGTTAAGAGCAATTTCAGAAAATGTCATGGACGATCACATCGCCCCACACTGGAACAATACGTGGGGCCCATCATAGTGCAAATGATGGGACATTATAGGCTACGGCTCGTGGTGGCGGAACCGCTCATTATCGTACGTGGAATCAGTACATAAATCTAAACCCCGAACATTCATGCTATGGCTCATCTGAGACGTTGATTTACAGGGCTGATTTATTGGACAGAAACCGACGGTCTATAAGTTGACTAGGCCACACAAAATCCTGGGCCCCTTTGTTATCAGCTGAGCTGAGGATTAGACACTTGGTGCATCTTCAGCCCTTCTTGTTCTTTTCTTATTTTTAACGTTAATATAATAATATTCTTCTACTGTTATTGTAGTATTTTGTTATTTTATTATTATATTTCTGCATAGAGACAGACATCGATCGATCATCGATCGAAGATTTTTGCATCGTCTGTGGTGAAGACGTAATCAGCGAACAGACATTCTATGGCAACAATGGAGATCGCTCTACAAGTGCAGAGACCCGTCTGTTACAGAACAACCTTCCCTGAAAAAACTCATTTGAAGGTCCAGCCGCCTGTTAGATTCTTCTCTCATGGCAGAACCAATCCGTTCTCGCATGTAATTCCTCTTACTTTGCCCTCTTTCTTTCTTCTTTCTTCTTTTTCCCTTATATTTAAATATATATATTTTTATGCTTCACTGTGTACTGTTTCTTTTGCTTCACTGAGTTCTTTACTGCGTGGGGTCTAATCTTTAAATGAGTTTCTTTCATCTATTTATTTGTTTTCCTTTTAAACACCAACCGATATGAGAAAGAGTATTTATTTGTTTCATAATGTCAAGTTTCGGGTTAATGGTTAGAAATGTTTCAGCTTTTCTTTCCTTTATCATATATCTATTCTCTGGGATTGTTTTTTCTTATTTTAGATTGGAGATTGAATGCTTACTTTGAAACCGACTTTAGTTTTGTAAAAGGTTGCTCTGGGTCCTTTGGGAGTTGGGGCATCAAATAGTTTTTAAATAAATTCTGTTAAGTTCACAGAGTTCAGCTGAATCAGTTATGTTTTTTTTGCTTGATTCAATCGTGGGAGAAGATTTCTTTACATTTCGATTTATGTAGTTTGAAGGATTTTACTGGTTATAAGACTAATATGACTGGATAAAAAAGACTTATACTTCACTGAATGAAGGTCATGAGAGGTAGCACCTTCAAAATTTTACTACATGTCTTTTATTTGTTCATTTGTTTGTTGTTATTCACTTCAGACATCTCCATGGCGCAAAGAATGTCCAACAATTGGATTGTCGTGTCACATCTTCGCCGGTGCAGGTCAGTACAGTGTGCTTGGTTGTGGGCAGTGACTTCTTTTCGTACTACCGTATCATTAAAATCCAATTTTACTTACTAGCGTTCTTTCGATTTCGTTTTAATTCTAGATTTTTCAAGGAGGAGATCAAGGAAAGGCCAGGTCTCAAGGCCAAAAGGCTCTGCTGCTAAGGGATTCATGCCAAAAATACGGGTTGGAACAAGCATCCAGAGGAGAGAGAAAAGTGATAATGATGATAACGGCAGTTCAAGCCCTTCCCTTCCCGGTGAACATCCAAGTTCCAGCAAGAATCCAGCTGAAATGAAGGTAGATACTGGTAAAAAGCAGGAAACTAAATATCTTCAAGAGAAGGAAGTGGAGGAAACAAAGGTTGAAATTGAAAATAAGGTTGGCACAACAATATCACCAAACAAACAGTTTGGCGTGGTTAAAAGTGTTGATATTGAGGGAAATGGAAGATTTTCCAGAATTGATGATGGTCCAACCAAGTCACAGAAATCAGAAATAATCACTTCAAAGGAATTTGAGGATGATGTAGATGAAACGCCATTTGCAAGAAAGAATTCTGGAAATGGAAGATTTTCTGTAATTGATGATAGTACAAGTAAGTCACAGAAATCAGAAATAATCACTTCAAAAAAAATTGAGGATGATGTAAATGAAACATCATTTGCAAGAGAGAATTTGGATACATTTAATGGCAGAATTATTGGTCAAAGTAGAACCTTTACTGTGGTTGATGAAGATTTGGTTGAAACTGAGTTGGACAAGCCAAAATTACTTGACAAGACTGAGAAGTTAATGTTTGAAGAGCCAGAGATGAAGGAGCATTTGTTAAAACCAAAGATGGAGATGGATGCCGAGGCACGCAGAAAGGTGATTGAGAGTCTTGCAGAGGAGAACTTTTCAAGAGGGTGCAAAATGTTTGTTTATCCTGAGGTAGTTAAACCTGATCAAGACATAGAAGTGTTCCTTAACAGGAATCTTTCCACTTTAAAAAATGAACCTGATGTTTTGATTATGGGTGCCTTTAATGATTGGAGATGGAAATCTTTTACTATAAAGTTGAATAAGACCCATCTTAGAGGGGATTGGTGGTCTTGCCTAGTTTATATTCCTAAGGAGGCATACAAGATGGATTTTGTTTTCTTCAATGGGGCAAATGTCTATGAAAACAATGAAACAAAGGATTTCTCTTTAACTGTTGAAGGTGTAATGGATGCATCAACCTTTGAGGATTTCCTGCTTGAAGAGAAACGAAGAGAACTTGAAAAGCTTGCTGCAGAGCAAGCTGAAAAGGAAAGACAAGAGGAAGAGCGGCGGCGGATTGAAGCAGAAAAGGTTGCAAGTGAAGCTGATAGGGCACAAGCAAGAGCAGAGGCTGCAAAGGAAAGAGAAAGTTTACACGAATTCATTAAAAAGGCTGTAAGATCTGTTGATAATGTTTGGTATATAGAGCCTAAGGAATTCAAAGGTGGGGATCTGGTCAGGTTATATTACAATAGGAACTCACGTCCTCTTGCTCATGCTAATGAACTCTGGATTCACGGGGGGCACAATAAATGGAAGGATGGGTTGTCTATCATTGGGAGACTTGTCCACTCTGAGATTAAAGATGGTGACTGGTGGTATGTTGATGGTATGTGCAAATTATGACTCCTCTCTTGCATCAAGTCATATCCTTTATGCACTCTTTAGCGATAGTGGATTGTGAAAATGGTACTGTGGCACATTGTGCACATACACACTGGTGGCATCCATCAATTAATGGGCCTGATCTACAGACCTTGATTTAAGGCTTACAATTGAACTGATAATATTAGATTAATTTTCTGGTCTATAATTTATTTTGAACCAAAATGGTAGAAGGGTGACCACCTTTTGTTATTTTTGAGGAAAATTAAGAAAAAAGATGTAGACAGTACATGGGAGGATGTGTACTCAGGTTTAAAAAGAGTACTAACTGGTATCATAGAAGTGGTATCCAGTCAACTGGTATTCATCATTTTTTATTTTTATTTTTTTTCCTATCAGTAACTGGTATTCATCAAAATTCACCTTGGGGGAGGGGGGGTGTTCTGATTGGTCAAAGTTCTTCCAGTATCATGCCCTTTTGGCATCATAGAAGTTGCCCTGTACAAACCCCCCTCTTCACACCCACTCTTGCTAAGCCATAAGCAATAGAATTAAGTTCTCTTGGTATACATCTGAGCTGAATCAAAACTGATTGAAATATTACTCTAACTTCATTTCAATACTAGGCCACCTAAATTGTCCAATCTATGATGTTGATTAAGTTAGTCAGGAAAAGAGAAGTTATGTACTCAGTTTAGAAGAAATATCTTATATATAATGCTTTTGAACAGTCTCTATTGTCTTTGTTTGTATTTATTACATCTTATTTTCTTCTTCTAAGCATATTATTTTTCTTTAATTTCAATGTATTCCATGCCAAGAAAACTTGACATATCGTTTGCTTGAAAGAAATAGACAATATGAATTACAGTTTTGGATGTTGTAGTTGAAAGAAAACATATGCATTCAAGACATGGCGGAATCTCTTGGACTATATCTCTTGTAATATTGGTTCTTGGTAATTTCTGGAGCATGCCCAGATGCTCTCAAAAGTAACATTTTTTTTTATGAGTAATAAAAAATTTTTGTCATGTGTAAGGATGTAGAAAGATATAAAAGAGCAATCTGTAACTTTACAATGTTGTATCCTATGCAGACAATTTTTTTTAATAGATAACAGAAATTTCATTAGAAAAGCCAAACTGCTGCAAAGTACATATCAGCTCTCCGGAAAAGGAGAGACAAACACAGAGAAGAAACCTTATGCACACAAAACGACATACCAATTAAAGACCTTAAAGCCTTTAAGAGCAATGGACTGATCCATAGGAAAGCTGCTAGTTTCAACTCCATTTCTTTCTTTCCAAATACTCCAGCAAATGCCAAAACTTGCAAATTGGGACCTATGAAAATGAACAAAAGTAAATACAATACATGGACAACAAAACCATGATCCACATGGTGTCAAAAGTGACATATTTCAAACTTGGCAAACTTGAAAATGGTTTCCTAAGGTCAGTTGCCAGTTTTGAGTATTCGTTTTATTTTAAATGTGACATGCATGCTTAGTATGTTTTGTTGGTCCATGCTTGTATTGTATGTGTTGAGACTTCAGAAAGCACATTCTTTGAATCTTGGTTTGGATGATTTGACTTTCTAAGATGAATCATGATAAATATCTACTAAACATAAAGGTGATTAAATCCTTTCAACAATTTATAAAATAGTTCTGTTTCATTGCATTGCCATTTCTAATAAGTTGTTAATTCTAATACATTTCTTGCCTAGATTGAGTCCTCTTGTCCAGGTTGAGACCCATGTTATTACGAACAAAGGGGTCCCAATCATTGAATTATGAAATTGCTCAACTGACAAGTTATTTTCTTAGTTGAATTTTGAAAATGCAGATTTTTTCAGAAGAGGTAGATTCTGTCATGTCATTTTTATTCTCAATCTGGATGGACTGATGGAATATTTCATGGTTCTTTATTTTTGTGACAGTTGCAAGCTAAAGCTTAAAATTATGTTGAATATACAGGAATTGAGAGTAGCATTGGATTTTTGCATGACATTTACTGTTCAATATGATCCTCTGGAGAAAACTCTGAAGTTTATGCATATTTTATTGTTTGTAGTTGTTGTACCCGATCGAGCTCTCATCATGGATTGGGTTTTTGCTGATGGACCTCCCGGGAGTGCTACAGTTTATGATAATAATAACTTTCAAGATTTCCATGCTATTGTCCCGAGAGGCATACCTGAAGAACTGTATTGGGTTGAAGAAGAACAGCAAGTATATGGGAGGCTTCAGGAAGAGAGGAGGATAAGAGAAGAGGCTATACGTGTGAAGGTTAGTTTAATGTATTGAATCATGATTAGTTTAATAAAAAAGTCATCAGTTACCAATAAAAAAAGTTCTCGATTAAAGAACAGGTTACCTTTATTCCATTTAAGCAAGATGGGTGATTGATCTCCTCTGAATGAGGACGTCTAGAGCAACGTCTGGTAAACCATAAAGATGGTTGATCTTTGGTATACTGGTATTTGTGACATGCTGGGATGGAGCACGTGATTCTAGTGGTGGCTCCTTGTAGCACTGTATGTATCATGAATGCAAATAAGCTGTTTGGCTTTCCTTGTAATATGCAAAATGGGTGCCTTAGTTTACCTTCAAATACCTTTTCTATTTAAACTTCACTTTATCATGGGAAAACCTTTGACATGGTTCCCCCATTTTTTCAATTGGCAGGCTCACATATTTTTTCCTTCTGACTTGTGCTTGTTTTCTTACAGGCTGAAAGAACAGCACACATGAAAGCTGAGACAAAGGAACGGACCATGAAAATGTTTCTATTGTCTCAAAAGCATATAGTCTACACTGAGCCACTTGATGTCAAAGCAGGAACTACTGTTACGGTTTTTTATAATCCTTCTAACACAGTTCTCAACGGGAAACCTGAAGTTTGGTTTAGATGCTCATTTAACCGCTGGACCCATCGTAATGGGCCATTACCACCTCAGAAAATGTTGCCTGTAGATAACAGTCCTCGTGTCAAAACCACTGGTAAGCTTTTAATATCCTTGCACTTCCATTTTGACTAGCATGGGTTTTGAATATGTCAAGTTGGTAGTCCTTGTCTCTTTTTTTCTCTGATAACAGGGAATAAACTTATTTAAGATGTATTTGTCATAGAAAAACACTTGTTTAAGATGGAGAAGAAAAGAGTACATGTGTTAATTCCCACAGCAAGGGGAGAAAAGGAACAAATGAAAACTTCAAAATGGAGGCAAATGAAAGATACAAAAGAAATGTAGCAGTCTCAAATCAAAATGATCACCTATGAAGAGAAACCCTCTTATACAGCTTGCTCCTCCCAACCCCATCCCCAAAAAGATTGTCAGCTGATGAATTGGTCAATATTGAGATTCATCTGAACGAGGTGTTCATTCTGGATGCCAAGGTTGTAGTCTCCCATAGAAGATGAAGAGGACCATTGGCTGGGTGAAGAAAGAGCCATGCATGCTATCATTTGAAGCTTATGATTCTCTGAACATGGGTGAGGTGGCATTGTTATCTGCCATCAAGGAACCTTGACCTCCTTCTGTAAAGGACAGAATTTTTTTTCCTAGACTCCCCTATTGTGGCGAGACCATACAATTCCTTCCACTTCTAACTAATGGCAGGTTGAGTCCTGCTCCACTTTTGCTTACCCGAAGCTAAAAGAATACATCAATCTGAGAACTTGTAATAAGGCCATTGATCTTGATTGCTCTTAGATAGGGTTGACTATCCTGCATAATTGCTTATCTGCAAATGAAGAAGCTGACTTTTATTTTCTGCCCTTTAACCACATAATCCATGGAAATTCTTATAAATTCTTCTTTAATGAGAATCTGGTGTGCAACTTTAGTGGTAAGTAATTAGATCAACAATCTTTGAAGAACTTGTTAGGAAAAAAAATCCTGATATTTCTCTCCTCCCAATGGTGGCGGTGATGTAAGGTAGGATGGGGGTCCTACAAAATTCAGACCTGGTGGTGAGTTTTGTGGGGTGAAGGAGGGGATTCAGATGATTAAAGATAAAGAATATGGATGAAAGGCAAGTAGACAACTTACTGTCCACCAAAGAATTAGTGAGACGTTAAAAAAATAGAACTCAGAATGTTGAGCAAGAAGAGAGGAGAGGAGGAAGAAAGGAAGAGAGGAGAGGAGAGGCAAGAGGACTGATAGCCCCAAAAGAATACTGCAGGCGTGTGCAGTAGATATTATTTATATTAGTCTAGTCGTACAACATAAAGATGGGGAAATTACAACAGTACCCTTGCGGTACTAAACCTGTGTACAATAACACCTGTCAACACTCCCCCTCAAGTTGGAGCATAGATATCAATCATGCCCAACTTGTCACAGAGATCATGATGTCTGGAATGGTTTAGCCCCTTTGTAAAGATGTTTGCAAGTTGGTTCTCAAAGCTGACATAGGGAGTACACACTGATGACTTTCTCTCTGATAAAATGCTTGTCAACTTCGATGTTTTTTATTCTATCATGTATCACTGGGTTGGCAGCAATGCTTATAGCTGCTTTGTTATCACAGAATAGAGTCATAGGTTTGTCCACTAGGAAACCCAACTCACTCAACAAATTCTTTATCCACATGCCTTCAGCTACCCCGTGGGCCATAGCACGATATTCAGCTTCAGCACTGGATCTAGCCACCACGTTTTGCTTTTTACTCCTCCATGTAACAAGGTGCAGTAGCCACTAGTAGATTTTCTGTCACTTTGAGATCCAGCCCAATCTGCATATGTATAAACTTCATCTTTCAAATGCCCGTGCTTTTGAGATAACAAGCCAATGCCTGGAAACTTCTTTAAATATCGGAGGATTCTCTCTGCTGCTTCAAGATGAGAGGACCTAGGTGCATGCATGAATTGACTGAGCACACCAACAACATATGCAATGTCTGGACGAGTCATAGAAAGGTATAACAATCTCCCTACAAACCTCTGAAACTGTTTCACATCCTTGAGAGGTTCACCTTGGCTGTCACCTAATTTATGGTTGGGGTCAATGGGAGAGTCAACTGGCTTCACCCCCATCTTTCCAGTGTCCTGAAGTAAATCTAGGACATATTTCCTTTGAGAAATGAAGATACCCCTCTTTGATCGGGCAACTTCAATTCCAAGGAAGTATCTGGTAGGTCCTAGATCCTTTACTTCAAACTGAGTGGCAAGAAAAAACTTCAACCTCTGAATTTCATCCTTCCAGTCACCAATAACAATTATGTCATCCACATATACAATTAAGGCAGCAATTTTACCTTCTCCTCTTTTCACAAATAGTGTGTGATATGATTGACATTGCTTGTATCCTTTTTGCTGAACCGCAATATGGAATCTGCTGAACCAAGCTCTTGGTGATTGTTTCAGCCCGTATAAAGACTTCTTCAACTTGCACACTTTCTGTTCATTTCCTTGAGCCAGAAAACCAGGGGGTTGAATCATGTAAACTTCCTCTTCAAGGTCACCATTCAAGAATGCATTATTGATGTCAAGCTGATGTAGATCCCAATCCAGATTAGTAGCAAGGGAGAAAAGAACTCTAATGGAGTTCATCTTGGCAACTGAGGCAAAAGTTTATACATAATGAACTCCGTACACTTGAGTAAACCCCTTTGCCACTAAGCGAGCTTTATTACCTCTCCACTGTTCCATCAGCCCTATGCTTGACAGTGAACACCCATTTACATCCAACTGGAACCTTTCTCTTAGGAAGATCAACAAGTTCCCATGTGCCATTTTTRTGAAGGGCATTAATTTCTTCCTTCATGGCATTTGTCCATTCAGGAACTGAAAGAGCTTCTGCCACATTCTTGGGGATAGRGACACTGTCAATAGAGGTAAGGAAAGCACAAAATGAGGGTGAAATGTTCTCATAGGAAACAAAGTTGGAAATTGGATGTTTAGTGGTGCACAATCTAACACCTTTCCTGTGAGCAATAGGAAGGTCAAGGTCATTAGCAGTAGAGGAATCGTTTTCAATAGAATCAGGAACATCATTGGGAGCCAAGTTACCTGAGTGAGTATGATCCTCCCCCGAGAAGTTTGGTGGCACTGGAGGTACAGCTTCCGGATTCTCCACAGCTCTTGAATTTGGTTGGCCTTTGCGACGACGAGAAAAGACACGAAACGGCGGAGGATCAGGAAGAGAAGGGAGTTAAACCAGTTTCTCCTCATGCCTACACTCCCCCTGAGGAGAAACAGGATAAAAAGGCTCATCTTCAAAGAAAGAAACATCCATGGAGACATAGAATTTMCGAGAAABAGGATCAAAACAAYRGTAYCCCTTTTGAGTGAAGGAGTAACCAAGAAATATGCAAGGGATAGCACGAGAATCCAATTTCCCACGGGTGAGAGACAGATTTTGGACAAA